TTCTAGGGGGCCTTGCCAGGCCCCATCTGAACTTGTCTGGCTTCTCCCGAGCTCGGGCCACTGTCCTCCCACTGTGTCTGGCTCTGTGTTCACTTTGGGCAACCGAGTCCCACTCAGACCAGGTTAGCTTCAGGCCGAAGACAGGGCAGGGCTCTGGTCTGCTCGACAACTAGGACCTGGGCCCCAGAACTGCACGTGTCACCAAGATACAGGCGTCCTTCTTAGCTGAAGGGCCGCCCTGGCGTCCAGAAGGACGAGGAGAACATCTGTTCCAACCCAGACCCATCACAGATGTGAAACAGGTCCAGAGAGAGAAATGGACTTCCCTAAAGCTGCAGAACAAAGCTGGAACCCGGGTTCCAGCTGCCATCCCTTTTCCAGAGCTCAGTCTAGATGTCCCACCCCTGTCCTCAGCCTCCCCCGGCTCTTGGCTTTTGGACGGGAAATTGTCGTCTCCCTCCCAGGTCCCGTCCTCTCCCACTGCAGGGCGAACTCTGTTCCATGACCTCTGTGGAGGAAGTGGTCAGGCTCCACCTGGGGATTTTTCCATGCAGTGGTTGCTTATCAGTGCCTACTCAGTTCTGGGCAATGTATCCTCAGGTTTTAATGAGCACCTGAGTCACCAAGAGATTGGAGGTTGGAGCCTCCCAGCACACACACTGCCCCCAGATTCTTAGGTCTAGAACGGGGCCTAGGGAGTCCAGTTAAGCCAGCGCACCATGTGGTTCTAGTACAGCAGGCCCGTGGGCCACATGCCTGCAAATACTGCTCTGGGCATCCTGACGGGGCAAATCCACAGTGGGCTTTGCAAATGGTCCCTGTCCTCTGGGAGCCCCCTGGACTCCAAGAGAAACACAGGTGACCAGCTGGGGCCTCACATGGGTGTCTGCGTGGGCCTGGAGGCTGGAGCTGGTGGGAGCTGCCTCAGTCCTGGGGAGAGATGGAGGAGAAACGGTGTGTGAGCTGGGCCCGGCAGCCTGAGGAATTGCCGCCTGTGCAGGCAGGCGTTTCATTGCCCTGCGCTGTGTGCCTCCTCGCAGATGTTGCGTTTTTACAAACTGAAGGCAACGCCCTCCACCAGGACAAAGGTTCGACTTGCTTGATTGTGGTGGCCTGGAACCAAACCCCGCTCTCCGAGGGGTGCCCGTGAGCCAGGCCGGGGCATCTTTGGCAGCATGGGATGGCCATGAACACATGGATGCACGTGCTGGGGCTCAGCAGGGTGTTTTGGTTTGGTTTTGGCCAAGTTGCCCACATTTTTAGGAAAGTTATACTATTCCATGTTGGCCGTGGTGCAGTGAAACTGGCCTTGTGGGCTGTGAGTAGGTGAGCTCATTGGTGCAGCATTTCTGGAGGGTAGAACAAGTGCTTTTAGATGTGTAAAAAACTCTCATACATCAGTGCATTAACTAAAGCATAATTTGGGAATTGAAAAATGGAAATAATCTAAATAATCGACAGTAGATTATTGATTAAATTCATCCATAAGGACGTAATACTGAAGTCAGTAAAATTAATGTTTTTTATAGGATATTTAATGCCATGTAGTAAATGTTCATAATATACTTGAAAAATTAAGATATAAGAAAATAATGTAATATTCCAATACTGAATATATGTGTATGTGTATATATATACACATATATATTGCTGCCACTACAATTAGAAAAAGATGCTTACAAATATTCAAATATTAAGAAAATGGGCTCCAAAGTATATAAAGGACTCACATAACTCAATAATAAAAATAAGTAAATAGCCCAATTAAAAAACGGGCAGAGGATGTGAACAGACACCTTTCCAAGGAGGACATACAGATAGCTGGCAAGCGTGGGAAAAGATGCTCAGCATCACTGATTATCGGGGTGCCAGTCAAAACCACAGCGAGGTATTACCTCATACCTGTTAGACTGGCCATTCCCAGGAAGAGAAGAAAGCACCAGTGTTGGAGAGGAGGTGGAGGAAAGAAAACCCTGGTACACTGTTATGGGATTGTAAACTGGTGCAGCCAGCCACCATGGAAAACAGTACGGAGATTCCTCACAAAATTAAAGAACTACGAAACTGATCCAGCTATTCCGCTTCTGGGTGTTTATCCAGAGAACGCAAAAATTCCAACTCAGAAAGATACCTGCACCCTTATGATCACTGCAGCATGATTTACAATTGCCAAGATATGGAAACAACCTAAGTTTCCACTCATGGATAAATGGGTAAAGAAATTGGGGTGCATATATAGAATGGAGTCTACCTGGCCATTAAAAAAAATCTTGCCATTTGCGATAGCATGGATGGACCCTGAGGGTGTTGTGCTGAGTAAAATAAGTGAGACAGAGAAAGGTAAATACCGTAGGATTTTACTTACATGTGGAATCTGCAAAACAAAACAAATGCATAAACAAAGCAAAATTAAAAGCTCCTAGATAAAGAGAACAGGTTGGTGGTTACCAGAGGTGCAGGGGCCCCGGGGGGCGAAGTGGGGGAGGGGCCAAGTGCATGGCAATGGGTGCAAACTCGATTTACAGTGGTGGTCACTTAGTAGTGTGCACAGATATCCCATTTAAATGTGTACTCCTGACACTTACATAATGTTACCTGGACTCAAAAAAATAAAATGGGGAGGAGGAGGGAGGTAGTAAACTGAGGACAGACTGACGAGCCTAGAATGTCCTTCTGAAGGAGTGGTCCTGGGGGTGGTTTGGGCGGGATCTGGGGACTTGGGGGCAGGTGGCGTCCTGCCTATGACCCGGAAGCAGTTAGTGACGGAGAGTTCCCCCTTTCTATGGTGCTTCTCGGGAAGAAGAGGATTTCTCATGGGCTTTGTGATCTTACTTCGGGCAGCCTGAGGCCGAAGGCAGCCTGAGCAATCTCCAAAGCCCTGTGCAGTCTGTGTTCTTGCCGTCTTTTTCAAATATGAAGTGGCAAACTTAGGCCGTGCTTCGATCCTAGGATGTGCCAGGTGTTGCAGGTGCCTTATCTCATCTAACCCTTAAACCAACCTCAGGGGAAGCCAAGGCTTGGGGACATCATACAGCCACTCAGTGTCCGCTTTAGGATTTGAATCCAGATCCGGGCGACCCAAACTTCTTGCTCAGGCCACTCTAGTCTCTGACATCCAGAGGGCCATGGGTTAAAGCAGACCTCCTCGCTGCCGCTTCGCAAAGGAGGAAAGGGATTGGTCCAAGTTTGAGGAAGGGCCTTGACTGCGTTTAGGAATTCTCACTCCATGAAAACATTGCCCAGATTAGTGTAGCCAGTGGCGGCAACAGGGATGAGACAACCATTTATGTTTATCTCCCTCCTTCCTCCAGCCCAGGGTGGAGAGGCTGGCTCCTGTCACTTTCCCGATTCCTGTGTTGACAGCTTCCCTGGCTGGTGCCTGGGCTGGGCCCCTCCCTCTCCCCTGGGAAGGGCGGGCTGAGTCTTCATGGGGTGGACCGAGGACTCCGTTGTCAGCAACGCCTGGCCACTGAGCCCATTTGGGGCACCAGGGCCTGGGGGAGGCACCTGGCCTCCCTCAGTTTGGTGGGGGCTCACACCATGCCAGGAACAGAATGTTCTAGAAGCCTTCTCTTATCTTCCCTCCCCAACCAGAAGTAGGCTTTCTAGCAGCATTTCAGTGGTTCTTGAGTTCATGAAATTGTTAATAATTTTTATGCTAATAATTACTTTTTTACAATTTGATAAAGTTTTTCTTTTGCAGTGATTATTCACAATTGAACATTTTCACAGCCTTTTTATGGGCTGACTTATTTTTTCAAGTTTCCCAAAATGAGGTCTAGGTTATCTTTTTTATTACTTTTTAAAGACTATCTCGAGAAGTATACAAAGAGCTTACACTTTTTCCACCCCAATTCTGGCCCCGTGGTCAGTGCCAGGCCGGGACCGAATGTTCACCGCTCTGGGGTGAGACGGGAAAGTAAAAGGTGTGCGCATGTCCGCACCGTTCCGTGAGGATGTCGATCCACTCTCCTGGGAGAAGTGGCCTCGGGGCTGCCTTCCTGTATTTTGGAAGGTTAAAACATCCTCTATTTTATGAATCGAGAATGATAGTCTACCAATATCTTTTTCAGCATCCTTGCTCGTCAATCCATCTCAACTCTCCTACTAAAAATATTGCTCACCTGGGAAAACTGAAAATCTGGGCGCCACTGACCCTGTGGTGTAGGATGCCCTTTGCACCCACCAGTTCTGTCCTTTGGCGGATCCAACCAGCACCGACCGAGACTGGTTAGAGGGCCCACTAGGTGTGGCTCCAATACCTGACTCTGCCAGTTACCCCCTCATCGGCCTTGATGGAGTCCTAACCTGCCTTCTCATCTTTAAACTGGGAATATTCCCATTTCCCGGGATTGCTTTACAGATTAGACAAATAGTGCAGATACGACAGCATAGTGCCTGGTACATCCCGTTACAGTGTCTCACCCCAGGGGGCAAGGAAAGTACTTCTGCCTCCTTGTGATTGGTGGAGGAAGCAGCCCCTTCTAACGGGTAATAAGCAGGTAAAACCATGGCCTTGACTTCTGATGCTCTGCTCCCCACACCACAGAACTTTAGGGGAAACTTGGCTGGAAGCTGTGATGGCCGCAGGCCCTGAGAAGAAAGGGGAACTCTCTCTGAAGTGAAGGTTGGGAAGTACCTCAAGGTCATAACTACAGTGAGGGTAAAAGCCCAAGTCTGGCCAAGTCCTGGGATAAGGAAGGAGAGGGTAGGGAGGGCCCCGTGGTTTGTGGCAGGAGACAAACCACAGGAATCTAAAGAGTGCTCAGCCCACATCAGATTCTTCACACGGGTTTCCCTGGCCGTGACGCAAGGCCCTGCCCTGGGAACCCCCCCATGCAGAGGGAGTGCTGCCGTGGGGTGGGGAGGGAGGCAGCCTGCGGGGCTGGCACAGTCGGAAGTCCCACCTTGCCTTTGGAAGAGACCTGCTGCAGCATCTGTCCTCACAATGACCTCCCCCACCCTCTACCTCCACCTCATGGTTGTGCCATTTCTTCCAGAGACGCCAAGAACCAGATCAGCCGCCCAGACCAGAGCCCCAGGAACTGGGTCCCCCCAATGGGGACACAGGTGAGTAGCCTGCTCCATAAATACCTTCCATGAGGTTTTCTACTTTATAATTAACCAAGGTCATATATCTACTTAATTATCTCATGGGCTATTAGATAGGTCACATTAATAGGAGTATTGTGCCTGCAATCAGGGAGGTGATATTCCTGACCAGGGCTTTCCTGTTCCAGGCTGTTGATACCACACCTGGAGTGCTGAGTTTATTTCTGTAAAGTACATTTTCAGAGGAATCCAGAAAAAGTAGAAAGTGTACAAGGAAGAAAGGAAAAACAGACTTATGAGGGATCTGAAAACCAGGTCCTGTAAGGAACCGTTAAAGGAAAAGAGGATGTTTTACCTGGAAAGAAGATGTTGCAGTAAAAACACAGCAGTTCTGTCCAAGTGTCTAAAGTGCCCTCAATGGAGAAGAAAAGCCTTGTACGGTGTCAGCCCAAGGTCACGGCTAGGGCCTCAAGGTAGCAGGAACAGGCAGGCAGAATTCAGTCCAATCTCAAAGAATTTTTTGTGTGGTGGTTGGCTTGAAACCATCAGAACTGCCTAGTAATAGAATGAGTTCTGCACCTCCGAAAGTGTTTAATTACAGCCTGGAGGCGGTCAGGGATATTGTAGATGAAGTTCAAGTACCAGATAAGCAATTGGCCCAGAAATCAGAGTTTCTCTAGCCCGGCTGTACATAACAATTACCTGGGGAAACATCAAAGACACAGATCCTGGGGCCCCACCGCAGACCAGTGAAATCGGAATCTCTGGGAGTGGGGCTGGAGAACCTGCATTGTTAATGATGACGTCGTTTCTGAATAAGCTTCTCCCCACTGGGGACCAGTCTGCTACTGGTCTGGTGGACTCACACTCGGGGCCCTGCGCTCAGTGACCTGTGAGACGTGGGGCTCTCTGATCTTGGCCACTGCTGTCCACCAGGACCCAGGGCACTGACTCACTCTTCCTCTATCCAGATGGACTGGCCGGGGTCAGTGGTGACTTCTCGCTCAGTGGTCCCTGTTCCCACGTTTCTCACCATCCCCTTGGCCAGACCCCGCCTGGGGCGGTCTGTGATCATAACACCAACACGAATAACGATGCCAGCAGCACTGGTGTTGGCCTCTAACGCTGGTCTCGAGCCCTGGTGCACATTCAGAAGCCACGCGGTGGGCAGCAGAGAGCACCGAGCACTCCCGAGCGCCTGGCACACTCCCACGGCTCCTGGTGCGCCGTCTCGGGAGTGAGGTGGCAGTCAGCAGAGCTCGCTGCAGGGTCAGCTCGTGTGGCTTCATGGCCCTTCTCCCCACTGGTGGCCTGGGAGGTCTTGGGCAAATCGCCTAACTTCTCCGTCCCTCAGTTTCCTCGCCTGTGACGTGCGTGGGGTGGCTGTGAGAATTATGTGAGTGATACCTGTGAGGCAGTTGGAGCAGAGCAGGCATGGTCCTGGGCGTGCTGAGCTCTCAGTGGTCCATACCTGCTGCTGTTGTCTTCCTGTTGTCATTGTTTCTGGTTTAATTATCTCAGTAACCCCACGGGAAATGTACTGTTACTGTCCTGATTTCACATATTGAATAACTGAGGCACAGAGGGGATGGGTCGCTGCCTCAGGTCGCTCGCAGAGCCTGTCAGACTCCAAGTGGCATCAGCGGGGCCTGACTGGGATTTTTCTAAGCAAGGACCAGACTTCCTGTCTGTGTCTCCCTCCTGCTCACACAGCTCCTCACCCTCCGGCGGGGGAAATGCTAAAGTCGAGGGTCACTCACAGGCCCCTGCAGGTAAAGCCAAAGACAGAGAGGACCCCTTATCCACACCTCAGTAGGGAGAGGTGGGGACTGTGGCAAACGGGAGAGCCACGTGCTGGACAGGGTGGGAGATAGCTGCCCCCCGACCCCAGCTCCTGGTTGACACAAAGGCACACCCTGCAGCTCTCTGGCTTCTTCACAAAAGCTGGAAATCTGTGTTAAGTAAAAGCTGCCCAGTCACTAAACACCAGCAAGTAATTTTTTTTTGGGTGGGGGGAGTGTTGGGTAGTGCAAATGGGCTGAACCTGTCCTGTCAGTTACCAGCCCTGCTGTAGGCCCTGGAGGGCAACACGGGACCACGAGCTCCTGTACGGAAGGAGGTCTGCAAGGCCAGGGGTCAGGGGGCTGCCTGGGGAGACCCAGCCCCCGCTGAAACCACTCCTGAGGCCGAGATTAGGGTGCTGGGCCCCAGCCTCCCACTCTCTCTGCTGGTGTCATCACCCCACTTTGGGTCAGTGTGATCTTTGTTTATTCATTTATTTATTTATTTATTTTTATTATTTTTGCTTTCTCACCTATAGCCACAACTGTCCAGCTGTGTGCGTCGGAGGAGGCTGAGCAGCACCAGAAGGATATAACCAGGATTCTCCAGGAGCATGAGGAGGACAAGAAGAAATGGGCACAACAGGTAAGCCCCAAGCGCTCCCTTTTCCTCCTGCTCCACTCACCTTGCAAAATCCAAGAAAGAGGACCAGCTTTTGATGTTATTGTTGTGGTATCCATTGCTCCTTTTTCCAAGTAGGGAGTTCTTTATCCTTGAACAAATATCTGTAACTGCTTGCCTACGATTCATTGTATCCTGTGTGTGCACAGAAAGCTGGGGAAATGCTAACAAAGTAGAAGGGCTTCCTACCTTGAGCGGGCTTCAGAATTAGAAGACTCCTAAATCCCTTTCCACCTGGATAATTCCCTGGGACGCCCCCTCTAGGTCCTAGTGAAGGCAGTCAGCCACGCCTGCTGTGTCTGGGGGTCTTTCACCGCTATGAGCACGTTTCCATCAGTCTGACGGGGGGAGGGTGGGGGTCTCTGATCACCTGGCTCCACATAGCTCTAGTGGTCAGTGAATGCGTAAGTGAGGCCCTGATGCACCTGCACCTACTCAGCCTCACCCAGCTCTGCACCCCCACCCCCAGGTGGAGAAGGAGAGGGAACTAGAGCTCCGAGAGAAACTGGAGGAGCAGCGCAGAGTCCTGGAGGGAGAACATGAGGCAGCCCTGCAGGGTAAGGATGCAGATGCTGCTCTGAGGAGGGTGTGGGAGCGCCCTCCTTCCGTCCCATCTGCCAAGTTCATGGCTGCGGCAGTGGGGTGGGGCGGGGGGGGGCCACGGGCCCTGCCCTCCTACCTCTGGTTCACAAGCAGTAGGCTGTTTTATGGCTGGAATCCGCAGGATCCTTGGACTTGTTCTTTGGGGCATTGCTTTAAGCGTCTGACACCATGTCTTGTTCTACCTTAGTTGGGAGGTTTTTTCTTTTCCTTCTTAAAAGCAATTCATATTCCATAAAGGAAATTTGAAAAACCTAAACATATAGGAGACTTTTTTTTAAGATTTAATTATTTATTTTTAGAGAGGAAAAGGAGGGAGAAAGAGAGAGAAACATGAATGTGCGGTTGCTGGGGGCCGTGGCCTACAACCCTGGCATGTGCCCTGGCTGGGAATCGAACCTGCGATACTTATAGGAGACTTTTTTAATATTCACATTTCTTCCTCGCAATAATGACAGTGTGTACAATTTCTGATAGGTTGAAAATTTTTTTCAAATAGCTTTCTTTCCTCTTACATTACCAAATGTGGTCGTCATAGAAAATTTAGAATCTAAGGTTAAACAAAAAGATCTTACAACATTGCGGTTAGGATCTCGGGCTCTGCCGCCCTGGGTCTGCATCCCAGCTCTGCCACTCATCAGCCATGTGGCCTTGGAGAAGGTAGTCAGCTTCGTTCACAGGGCATTTAATTTAATTTAACTTTTACATGGATAGTATTTAGAACAGTGCCTGATATTTTGCAAGAGATTTAGCAAATAATTATTAGTGTTATTATTTTATTATTGAGAAAATTAAAAGTGTATGCAATTCCATTCGGAACTCAGTAGCTATCCCTTAGATGTAGGTCCCTTTCATTTTTTTTGTATATATCTAGAATATATATCTATACACACATACATACTTTGGGTGGAGAAGATGAATTGTTGTTTTACTTTGAACTGTATCAACAACTTGTCATTAAACTCTTGTGACATAAGTTTTAATGACAACGTAACCCTCTAGTGTGCACCCTTGTTCATTTAACCGGGCCCCTTAGGTTAGGCATTTAGGTACCTCTAGACTTTTGCCACTTCCTGCAATAGTGATGATACTTACATGTGTGTGAACCTGTTTTGTAAAATCTTGGCCATGTTCATCACAATTATCCATCCACCGCCATCCCCACTGTCCAGTTCCAGGACTCTCATCACCCGAAAAGTAACCCCTGACCTCACCAGTCACTCCACAGGCCCCGCTCCCTGACCCTCAGCCTTGGGCAACCACCAATCTGCTTTCTGTCTCAGGGCCTTGCCTATCCCGGACACTCGTGTAAATGGAAATGAGTGGATGGATTCCTCTCCTTCTGGCTCCCTTCCCTCAGCATGGTATTTCCAAGGCTCATCCAGACTGCAGCTGCATTTGCACTCCATTCCTTGGTTGTTGCTTTGTCCATTCTGCAAGTCACCCCACTCCTTTTTGTGGCTGAGTAATATTTCATAACTGTTGGCATGGACACACCACACTTTGTTTCCATTCACTAGTTGATGGGCACACGAGCTATCTCCACCCTTTGGCACTGGTCACTATGAATAGTGCCACTATTCAAGCACCTGCTTGAACACCTGCTTTCACTTCCCCCAGGTGTACACCCAGGAGTAGGATTGCAGGGTCAGACGGTAATGTTATGCTAGCCTTTTGAAGAAACTGCCAGCTGTTTTCCACAGTGGCTGCACCATCTTACATCCCCCCGGAAACGCACAAGGGTTCCGACTGCACCACGTCCTTGCCGATGCGTGTTGTTTTCTGTTGTTGTTGATACTATTATTATTTTTGTTATTTTTGCCATGTTATTGGGTACAAGGTGGTTTCTCATTGTGGTTTTGATTTGCATTTCCCTAAGACTAATTTCGCTGAGCATCATTTCATGTGTCTTTTGGCCATTTGTGTATCTTCTTTGGAAAAGTTTACATACATTTTTGATGCGATTGAAATTAACCTGGAAAATGTTATGCCAGTTCTCCCTGTAATCATCAGTATTCGCATGACCTTTCCCCAGAATTATTTATCTTTTAAAAAGATGACTACTTACAGGTAAAGTTTTGCTCTTTTCATTTAACATGGTATCAAACATGTTTCCATGTAATTATGCAGCTACTAAAATGTTTATGAAGTCAAGACCATTGCATGTGTGGTCCTCTTTAATTTCTCATGAGTCTAGACGTCTAGGTTTTAACTGCTACAAATAACACTGCACTGGACGTCTTTTGCACAAAGATGTGCCCGCATTTCACATGATGTCCTTAGATTCCCAGAAATGGCATAACTAGAACAGAGGTCTGAACAATGGTAAGAATCTTGAAACATATTGCAACATCGGCACAAAATGTTTTGAGCTGAAATCAAGGCCTTTGCCTTGGGAATTTGAGTGTTTTAATACTAATGCACCCCGTGAGACGGAGTCTGTCTTTTGACCTCAGTTCAGTTTCTGCATGTCTGAAATCTGCCTTGGGTCTCAGTTCACTTTCCATGTATCTCAAGCCTACCTTCCCTGCCTCATGAGGCTGTGGCGGGGAAACAGCTCTGTTCTCCAAGCATTGCTTTGATTTTATTTTTAGCATTATAAATATATTGATAACTTGTTACGGTTTGGTTTATGACTCAGGGTGGCCTATCTTGTGACTGTTTCAGGTGCACTTGAAAAGAATGCACACTTGCTGTTAGGTTGGATATTTTATAAATGAATCAATTAAATCAAGTTGGTTCATGGGCTTCTTCAATTTTTCTTTACTCTTACTGATTTTCTGCTTTTCTATTGAATATTGAGGAGTATAATTGTACTATACTGTAATTACAGTATATAATTATATCATGTATTGTTGTATATTTGTCTCTTTCTCCTTTCAGTTCTGTCAGTTTTTGCTTTGCATATTTTGGAGAACCATTGTTAGGTGTGTAAACATTTGGGATTATTGTGTCTCCTTGCAGACTTGACCTCTTTATCATCGTCTCCTTCATCCCTGATAATTGCCCTTATTCTCACATGTGCTTCTTCTGAAAGTTATACAGCCACTACAGCTTTCCACCCTTTTACTTGTAACTTACCTGTGACAGATATTTAAAGTGAGTTTCTTATAAGGCCCTGGCCAGGTAGCTCAGTTGGTTAGAGTGTCGCCCAGTGCGACGTGGTTGCAGGTTCAATCCTGGGCCAGGGTACATACAAGAATAAACCAATGAATGCAGAAATAAGTGGAACAACAAATCTCTCTCTCTCTCTTTCTCTCTCTCTCTTTCTCTCTCTCTCATTAATAAATAAGGTGGATTTCTTATAAATAGCATATTGCTGGGGGGGGTATTAAATCTATTCAGATATTTTCCATTGTTTATTTATTATGTTTAGGCCATTTAATTTAATGTTCTTATTAATATGGTTGAATTCAAGTCTGTTGTTTGGTATTTGTTTTCTGTCCTCTGTTTCTTTATGCTCTGTCTTTGCTTTCCTGCTTTCTTTTGGAGTACTTGAATATTTTTAATATTCTCCTTTAACTCACCTATTCTTTCTTTTGCTGTTACTCTTTCTGTGTGTGTTCATATAATCACTGCTCTAAGAATTGCAATATATGTAACAATCTTCTTAAATGAATCTTCCACCACCTCAAGTAGAATGTAGGCAACTACCATCTTGTGGGCCCCTCTATCACCCCCCGTTTTCTTGTGCTTGTCTGTGTTTCAACTACATACACTGACCACTCCATCAGATGATGTTATAATTTTTGCTTTTAACCATCAGTCATGTTTTAAATAGCTCAAGGGGAGAAGAACAGTCTATTCTATTTACCCAGGTACTTACCAGTTCTGTGGCTCTTCCCATACATGCTGAGGTCCCTCATTTCCCTCTGGTATCATCTGCCGTCTGTCTGAAGAATTCCCTGAGTAATCCTTTTAGAGCAGGTCTGCTGGTGGTGAGTTCTTATGGTGCACCTTCACCTGAGAATGTCTTTGTTGTACCTCCTTTCCTGAAGGGCATTTTCACAGGAAATGGGATTCTGGATTTATAGTTCTTTTGTTTCAGCAGTTTTAAAATGTTCTTAATCCTTCTACTCACTAAGGTTTCTAGTGAGAAATCCATAGTCATTCAAACTGTTGTGTTCTCTAAGTGATACACTACTTTTCTCTGGTTCCGTTCAGGATGTTTTTCTTTGTCATTACTTCTCAAAAGTGATGGGTCTGGCTGTGGATTCTTTTGGGTTTACTTTGTTTGGGGTTCGGTGAGCATCTCTAATCTGCAGGTTTGTGTTGCCAAATTTGGGGAGTATTCAACCATTCTTTTTGCAAACAGTCTTTCTGCACTACACTTTTCTCTGTCCTCGACTCTGACGACACAAATGTTAGACATTGGGGGTTGTCTTAAAGGTCCCAGAGGCCCTGTTCATCTTTCCCCGGTATTTTCTCTCTGTTGTTCAGGCTGGGTCATTCCTATTGATCTGCCTTCAGCCTCGTTAGCTCTTTTCTGTGTCATCTCTACTCTCCTCTGGAGGCCACTCAGTAAGCTTTTTATTTCATTCATTGCATTTCTTTAGTTCTAAAATTTCCTTTTGGTTCTTCTGGATATCTTCCGTTTATTTGCTGAGACCGCCTGCTTTCCCGTTCTTTCGAAGAGTGGTCGCCCTGCTCTGAGGAGCAGTTCTGCAACGGCTGCCTTCACGTGTCTGCAACGGCTCCGTGGCACCGCGGGGCCGGCATCTGCTGCATTTCTTTTCTCGGACACGTTGGGATTTCTCTGCTACTTTGTGTGCTAAGTATTTGGGATTGCACGCTCAGCAATTTTGGGTGTGTATGCTGAGCCATTTTGGATTCATGCGCGGACAATTTTGCATTGTATCCTGGACATTTTGAATATTTGAGTTACGTGAGATTCTGGGTCTTGTTTAAATCTCCTGCTCTGGTGGTACTTCAGATTCTTGTCTCCTTGCCCAGTCTGCCTGCCACCACTTACTGTCCAGAGTCTGGAAACAGCTGCTCCGTGTATTCCGTCCGGGTTTTACAGCTGCGTTCCGCTGGGCAGACAGGATGGAGCATGCTCCCTCCTCCTCACCTGGAAGTGGAACCTGTCCTGATGGGCAAGTCAGTGAGGCTAGTTAAGCCCATAACCTTAAAAAATGAAGCCTGTAATTTTAATATAGATGCCTCTCCATCACATCTATGTCATCAAACATTCTTCTCTCTGTGTCACTGCCCACTGCCCACTGTGCTACAGACCTCTTATGTCCGGGCCTTTGACTGTATTAAACTTTCCTGTCCTCTCTGTCCTATTTCCCATCCCACCATTGATTGGTCATTCCCATGTCGGAACCTTCCACAAGGTACTCTGTAGAGGAGGCGGGATGAAAACTGTAACTGCACTGATTTGGGGAGTCATACATCCGGTTCCGCAGAGCACTGCCCAGCTGGGAAAGCCCTTGCAAGTCCTCTTCTCACCCCTCAGAGACGCCTGCCGGGCTTATTGGCCCATTTCACAGTCGAGTAAAAGGACTTGTGGGTATTTTAAGTGATCTTCTCAAGGCTTCTCAGTTTTGAAGAAGCAGAACCAGGACCAGGTAGACTTCCTGGCCCCGCATGTAATGTACTCACCACGGTTTTGTGCCACAGTCTGATGACTAAGGACCTAACGGTTTCACCGTTTGGCTAGCCCAGCTTACCAAACATTGGCCCTGCGCACTCTCCATGGCGCGCCGTTGGCTGAGATGAACCAGCTTGCCGCAAGATCTCTGGATCTTAGCCTCACTCAGCAAGGTGTGGGCACCCCCACCATCTCATAGGGCTCATGGTTCCCCCCAGGATATAATTTGTTTCCATTTATAAGAGCTTTTATTCAGTATCCACTATACTTCTAACATAGCCCCAAGCCCATGTGGCAGAAGGATGGACAAGAGCATTCCATACTCCTGGTCTGTCTGGGTTCCAGGTGGCCCCTGGGGCTCTCTGGGGCTCGTGAGACCTGCCAGGAGCCTTTAGGGTGAAGTGTCTGGTTGTCTGAGTTCACAGAGGTCTCATCTGTCTCCTCCCCCTACAGTCCTCCGGACCTCATGCGAGCAAGAGAAAGAAGCCCTTTCCCACTCCTTTCAGGAGGCCAAGGCGGCCCTGCAGGTGAGAGGGGCTGGGCCAGTCAGTCTCTGAGAGACTAGGGGAGGACCCGCAGGGAAGCAGCATGGCGCTCCAAAGCAGCCCGAAGCTGATGGTCTTGGCCCAGGTGTCGGGGACAGAGTTGATTGTTTCCCGTGTCTCCCAGCCCCGTGACGTGGCAACCAGGCTGGAGATTAGGGTCAGCCTATTTTTCCAAGGACTGTTGGGACAATCTTGGAAACTTCATGGGCCAGGTGCCACCGTGCGATCAGACTGGTGGTGGGTGCACTAGATCTGGGAAGGCCTGAAAGAAGGCACCTGACCCTGTTGGGCTGGTCAGGGACTTCTTAGAAGGAGTGAGGTCTAAGCCAGAACCTGGAGGATAGGCTAGAATTGTTCCGATGAAGAACGGTAGGAAGGGTGCCTTACGCAGGAAAAAAAAAAAAACCTGGACTGTGGACCTGAAAAAAGTCCAAGATGCCTGAGGTACAGAGAACAGTGGGAGAGACAACTGAGGCTGGAGGGGTCGGGAAAGGCCAGATGCGGGGAGCCTGTGAATCATAGTAAGGAGTTGCATTCTATCCTGAAGGTAATAGGCGAGGTTTTGGTGGAGGAAGTTCTTGGCAGGGGAAAACTACGGAGACAAGAATGTGCCTTGGTGCAGGTGGAGGGGATGGGGGGGGCAGATACATGGTGATGGACAGAGACTTGACTACCAATGAACTTGAAAAAAATGAAAAGAATGCACCTTGCAGTTGGAGGAGTGATGTGATATTTGGCTGCAGGGGATGGTGTGTAGCGGGCAGCAGTGAGAGATGAGACTGGGAGTGTGGGTCGAGCCCGATCCGGCTGCACTTTGAATGCCACGCTAACGCCGGCCTTGAATACCAGGACAATGTCCCCAAGGCTATGGAGAGTCATTAAAGGCTTTGGAACAAGAAGTGGGGCTGCTCGTTTCAAGCAGTGGTTGAAGTGGGTGCAGCCCGCTTTGTTGGGTATGGTAGGGCAAAGACAGACTGAGGAGCCCGAGAAGGAACCTGATCTCTCTCTGGGGTGCAGAGAGGTCCGCCTCTGCCTTTGGGAGCCAGGCTTCCGTCATCTCCGTCCTGCTCCCCTCCCCAGGAGACCATCGATGCATTGAACTCACAGCTGGAGGACTTCCGGGCCAAGATGAAGAGGGTAGAGGAGTCCATTCTGAGCCGAGACTATAAGAAGCACATCCAGGTAGGTAGCAGTACACCTGGGGGCCCTCCCTTCTGGAATCCCCACCAAGGTCAGGGTCTGGGCAACAGGAAAGTCCAGTCTGTCTTCTCAGACAGGGCTCGGACTTGACATTCTTACCTTCACAAGTGTCTGGAAGAAACAGGGTCCCTGTGTCACTTGGGGGGGGGTGGACAGGGAAGAAGGCACAGAGAGAGGATTATGGGGTACTAAAGTGCTCAGGCTCTGGTCAAGAGAGAACTAGGGGCGAACACTACCACTTAGCATAAGCAACTTGACCTATCTGAGCCACAGCTTCCTCATCCGTGATGCCTCAGTGGGTGTTAATGGGGCAGAGTGAGATTCAACATATTAAGCACTTACCATGGGTCAAGACAGGGAGGTGATGTCTGTTTAAGTCAAATAGTGAGTTGGAGGCAGACTCGGGAGGAGGGAGATGCCCTTGCCCTTCTGCCTGCTGGTCTGATGAAGTCCCTCCACGTCCCTGTCTAGGATTACGGGAGCCCCAGTCAGTTCTGGGAGCAGGAGCTGGAGAGCTTGCACTTTGTCATCGAGATGAAGAATGAGCGTATTCACGAGCTAGACAAGCGGCTGATCCTCATGGAAACGGTGGTACGTGGGTGGGAGCGGCTGGGGGGAGGCAGCGTCAGGCCTGTGCTTTCTGAGCATTTCCTCGGGAGAGTGTGCAGGGCGTAGGCACTTTGATGAGGCCCCACCGGCTTGGATCTGCCACCTGTGCTGGCCCGTGAGACAGCTGAGGCTGGTTTGTGGCCAGTCTGTGTCAGGCAGTGGCCCCTCATCATCTGGGTCCTGCACTTATCTTGCTACTCATGCTGCTGTAACTCAGCTGACACCATGGCTAATCTGGAGGGGTTGGCAGATGCCACATGTCCTCCAGCAGGGGCCGAGGACAGCTGACAAGTCAGACAGGTATGGGAGGCCAGGGTCAGCAAGCACAGGCCCGGGGAGCAGTGGGCATCAAGGCACAGGTGGCCTTGTCTCCAGGAGAAGGGGGCCCCCAGAAACCGAGGGTTGAGTCTGAACGGAGATCACGCTGATCTGGAGGAAGTCTCCCTGGTCCTGGGTGTGCCACAGGACGTTTGTTCTCATCAGACCATCTCAGATGGCCCACACAGACTTGTTCAGCCATTTTCATGGCATCGCATAACAGACACACTCAACTTGATTTTTTATATTATATTCCCGGGCTTTTGGAGAACCAAGGATATCCTTTTTCTTCTGAAATGACGGCAATACGAGATGGCGGCCGTACTCTTTTGTCCGTGTTCTCATGTTGGCAGCCCTCTGTTCCACGCCCCCCCCCCCACCGTAGTTTCCCTTTTTTAAGTCATCCTATTGCTCCATGACATGTAGCATTTGCTCTGGAATGAGCCGGTGTCTTCAGTGACCGCAGATAAGAGGGAGGTGATGGCGCGCCTTGTGTCATGGGAGTTGGGTGGCTCCCTGAGCTCATTCTGATTTGTTGCAGAAAGAGAAAAACCTGCTGCTGGAGGAGAAGCTGTCCACCCTGCAGCAGGAGAATGAGGACCTCCTTGTCCGAGGCCGCAAGCAGACAGTCGTGTCCAGGTAGCTGTCCCCCTGCCTCCTTTCCCCCTGTCCCCACCCTTTTTGCCAACATCTCCAGTTGAGAGTCTCAGGGAAACGTGTGTGTGTGTGTGTGTGTGTGTGTGTGTGTGTGTGTGTGTGTGTGTGTTTGGGGGGTGAGGATTGATAGGGGTGGACTCCCCAAGGGTCAGGGCTCCTCTTTCTTAGAGAGTCAGGTATCCCTAGGGACCGGCTCTGCCTGGAAACCTAAACCGAGGCCCTGAGTAGGATCTGTCTGTCCCTGTCCTGGCTGAGTGGGCTTCACGGGGGAGCCCAGTCTCAGAAGGGGGAACCAGAAACGTAGAGCTCAAGAGGCCAGATGAATGGATGGAAGTGCGCAAATGAGTCAGCTCTAAGGGTGTGGTAAATGACAGCCAACCCCGAGGGTCAGGCATAACTTGTTGAATAGTTTGCATCTCCTCTGAGCCTCCTTATTGCCCTGAGAGCGGGGCCACGTTATCCTCCTTCCCTTCTCACGAAGGAGGAAAGTGCGACTTGACGAGAGTAAATAAGAACTTGTTCAAGGGCACACAGCTAAGTGTCGGGGCGGAACGGATCCCAGAGCTGTCCGCCTGGGAGGGCCACTCTCCTTGGTCAACAGATCAAATGGCCACTGTGTTCACGGCGGGCAAGACGGGGCAGCGGGGACCCTGGAGCAGGCCTTGGCGCCTCGAAGGAAGGCGTCCTGGAGGGCGGGTTGGTCTCCGAGGTCGCTGGAGGCCCTGAGAGGCAGCCCGGCCTCTGTCTGCTCCCACAGGCAGCTCTCGGACGACCTGCTTCTCGCCCACGAGGCCCTGGAGAAGGAGTCGCAGTTACGGCGACAGCTCCAGCAGGAGAAGGAGGAGCTGCTGTACCGGGTCCTTGGGGCTGATGCCGCCCCTGCCTACCCCCTGGCCTCCGTCACTCCCACTGAGGTCTCCTTCCTGGCCACATAGGCTCCAGGCCTGGGCAGCCATGACGCCTGTGGTCGCAGCTCCCTGTCCAGGACGTTCCGGAGAAGACGGCAGGGGCCTCTCGTTCTGCGCCCAGGAGGGGACGAGGGCGGGAGGGCGATGGGAACCGGGGTGTGTGCCCAGCGAGCCCCAGGGGCTTGGGCCACGCAGTCACCCAGGGGGCCCAGAGGCCCTGGGAGGCCCTCCGCTGAGTTGGCCCAGGAACGAGCAAGAGGAGCCCTTTCCTCCCTCCCCTCTCTCTGTTCACGCCGGGGAGTTCTGAGGCTTTGTCCAGGGGAGCCTGTGCCACTTTGACCTCGAGACAAAGAGGACACCACCTCCCGGTCCTCACTTGTCAGCTTGGCTGCCGGCTCACCAGCTTACCCCTAGACGCCCCCCTTGTGCCTTGGCCTTCTCTCGGCCTCAGTTTACCGCTTCTCTGAAGCCGTTGGGGAAACTGAACAAATGACTCTTACGTTACTACAGTGTCCCATTCTAGGGTCAGACTAGGAGCTGCGGGATGGGGGAGGAAGTGGGCCAGACCCTGTGAATCAACTGGGGCAAGTGAATGGCTGGGAGGGGGGTCACTGGCAGCCCTTGAGGCTGGCCGTGCCAGGGGCCAACCCAGCCAAGGCAGGGGCCGGGCAGGGCAACGGACAGGCCACTGCTCCTGGTCCCACCCAGAGTCTGGTCAGCCCAGGGGTGATGGCTGGAGTGTCTCCCCCTTGACCAGGCAAAGGTCACTCCTCAGCCCTCCAGATCCCTCAGTCTCAGTGCCCCGTGGGCACAGGGGCACCGGGCAGGTCTGAGTACGCTCCATGGCCGAAGCTGGGACCTCATCTCCATACAGAGATGAAACCTAAGTGGGGAGTGGGACTCCCAAGGCCTGGACTGGGACCTCATCTGTCATCCAGGTCTTATCTTGTGCTTTTTCTTTCTCCCCAGGCTCTGGGAAGATCAGATCTGTGACAGTCTTTCTCTTCCTTCCTCTTTCTACTGGCCCCACCCACTTCCTTCTCTCTTTTACTCCTGCTTGCGTCTTAACTCCTCCCCCCACCCCTGATCCCAGGCCCCCAGAACCTAGCTCTCCGCTTCCCCCCCCAGTTCAAAGGGGTGGCTGCAGGAACTAACTCCAGCAGGCCTGTCTAGCCCTGACATCTGGGGACTTAAGATTCTCTCAGGAAGCTTCGGGTCAGCTGGAGGCCATAATAACAACCTTGCCTTGCATGGCGCATTCAGGCACACCACCCTTCTCTGATATGCATCACCGCCTTGAAGCCAGTTCTCACCCCTCTTCAGCCCTGAAGCAGACTGAGATCATAGGAGCCCAAGGGCCTTGCCTGAGGCCTCTGGCTCCAGCCCCCCAGCCCTGGGCCAGCACCTAGGAAAAGTTAGCCCACTAGAGCTGCGGTTTCCTCCATCGTTCCTGACTGCCTTCCGCATTCTCTGCCATCCCAGGCAGCCTTCTCTGTCCATTTCCAGTTCTGGGAGTTCAGCAGGGCCTGGGGCTGCTTCTGGGGCTGCTTCTGCAGCCGTGGGCAAACAGGTCACCCGGGAGCCTTGGGGCAGCTCTGGAATGAATCTCACACACACACACACACACACACACACACACACGTACGTCTCCACCTGACCTTTCGCAAAGCCTATCGGGGACACACTAGTTCATTGGACTCTAATAGGGAAAAACAAGAAAAGAATTGGTGGCCAAGCACTTTGAGAAACTCCAGGTTCGATCAGATTAAACAGATATGCAAACTGCAGGACTTCTCAGAACCTTTAATAACTAACATCCTTTGCAAATTGCCCAGAAAGAAGCAAAGTATTCAGAATTTCCTGAGCGCCTTGGACTGAGTGTCAGAGCACTTGAGCCTACAGAATGCCCTTTAGAAAGCATTGTCCTAATGGGAGAAAGGGCCAGTTGTGGGGAGCAGGGCGCCCCTCGTGTGGCCTGGGGTGCCTGCGAGGAGCTAACTGAGGTCAGAGCCTCACCCTGGGGCAGACGAGCTGTGGAAACCAAATAGCTCCCAGCAGTATTCACTTGGCCTCCGTGTTTTCCTGGGAGAAGGAGGAGGGGGGTCCTCCTGATACCTCTGCGAGGGGCAGGCATCTGGGAGGAGTAAGTCCTGGGACCTGGGTGACTCGGCAGGTTCTGGGATCCCTCCTTGGGTACCGGTGTCCCACAGGCCCCAGCTTTGCCCAGCCTTGGGACCGGGGGTCGGCATGGAGGCTGGCTCTCAGACCAGGTCAGGGCTTGGAGTGAGGCAATGAGGTTGAAGTGAGTGGTAAAAGTAGATGCAGGAGAGGATCAGGGGTGGGGTTCTCTCTGCCCTCTGGGTGCACCTTCTTGGCATAAAAAACACCAAAGTTTACACAGTGACCTGCTTCTGCCCACTGTTTTGCACCCAGATGCCTGCAGCCAGGGAGGGAGCTAGGAAGGGACAGGGGAGACCCGAGGGCTTCGGGTCACATGGACGCGGGTGGTGGCAGTCCCAGTGCCCTGAAGGTTGGTGGCCCGGCAGGTGTAGACGCCAGCATCCCCTGCCCGGGCCTCTTCCACATACAGGGTGCTCTCTGCCTCCTGCTGTACCTGGCCCTCCCGGCGCACCACGTCGGCCCGCTCGCTGACGTAGCGGGGGCGGCCCAGCTGTAGGAGACAAGGAGAACCATCGGCTTCCCCAAAAGCCGTCTCTGACTCAGGCACCAGCACGCAGGTAAGAGGCACCAGGTAGCCTTCGAGGGAAAGGGGAAGTGACCTGCCCAAGACCACACCTCATTGTCAGAGCACCTGAAAGGCCAGGTTCTTTGTGGAAAATGTGAAGCTTTGCAAGTCCCTAGAGAGCAGCCGGGGTCTCCTCCTTGCTCACGGAGCTGCAGCAGGTAGCTCAGCCCCGAGCAGCCCCTCCTGGGTGGGCGTTGTGGTGCCCTGGTCCTGGGGGGATGCTGATGGGCACTCCCTCCACCAAGGAGGGATGAGGGGGACCCATTATCAAAATTGCTGGGGAACACTGAGCAAGCAAAGTTAAATGGGGGTGACTCAGACCACTGCGTCTGTCACGTGTGCAGGTTCTGAACCTCCACTGTGGGTGATGGTTGTAAGAGGCAGTTGTTCCTAAGAACACACTTTGGGGGGTGGGTGGTACTCTACCATTCCAAGGGACATGTCTGGGGAAACATTGATGGAGTGCAACTGGGGTCTCCCAACCATCTGCATGTTCTTTTCCCCTTGTTGGGTCTCAGCTTCCGCTTTTGACAAGCGGGGAAAATGATCCCCACCATTTCTATGTCCGAAAGCCCCTGGGGGCAGGCTCCCCTTGGTCACCCTTTCGCTGGGTCCAGCCCTCCCCCCAAGGCTCACGTCAAATTCCAGCTCTTCCAGAAACCCCTTTTAAGAATTCCTAAAGCGACGTCATCACCATCATGGCAGAGCGAAAAGACTCCTTTGTTTCTCCCCTTAAATTTACAACGAGTTGGGCATTTAGAACTCGAAGGATCCCCAGCTCGACACGCAGACACTCCCGGAAGGCCCACACACTGGGACGTCTGAAGGCGGCGTATTGGCATGAGTAGGGACGGGACGGGCAGGGACTGTGGCAACAGATGCAGCTCGGTGCCCGCTGCAACTCCAGCCAGCAAGGGAACGATGGGAGGGTGGAGCCACAGCCCTCACACTAGGGCTGGGGTGTGAGAGGGACAGAAGCCATTTCCCTGGGGAAAAATAAAAGGCCTCTCATTTCTCTTTTCCCCATCACAGCAGAGCTGGGTAGAGGCGGCTGGGAAGCCTTAAACAACTGCCATTCCCAGCAGGGGGACAGAGCCGTGAATCACGAACTAGCCTCCCCAGCCCTACCAATCCCAGCAGAGCCAGTAGAGGCAGAGAGATGCCTCCAGGAACAGCAGGGCACTGGCCATTAGTGAAAAGCAGGTGGCTCTGGGGGCTCCCAAAAGCCATTCTCCACCACCCACCACATCCCCCCACCACAGGGGTCATGCCCTGTAACCAAGGAGAGCTGGTCACAGAGGCGGCACCACCATTCCCAGCGGGTTTGCAGCAGTTTCCTCAGTCTAAAGGATGTCACTCCGCCACTAGCCCAGGTGTGCAAACGGTGCAGGTGAGAGAAAACGAAACCTTGTGCTGTCGTACCTCTGCTGGAGAACAAGAGAAGGCACCCACCCTATAAACCTGCTGAGTAGACGAGGGCAAAACAGGGTCTGAATGACCAAGGAGCGCCCCACCGCCAGTGCTTGGGCAGAGAAGCCACCCGTCAAACACCACGAACAGCAGAGGAACCCTGGGAGCACAGAAAGAAAACAAGAAGTCTCCAGACACCAAACTCAGAGTCACGGAAGACTGATTTAAAGGGCGGAATTTGAGGTTGCTGGTAGGAGGAAACTCAACGATATAAAAGAAAACTCAGAAAGGCAGTTAAATGAGCTCAGGTGTTAAATTAGGAATGCATTCAAAAACATCGAAGATGGACTGGATCGGATGGAAGACAGAATTCGTGAACTTGAAGGCAGAAACCTGGGAATAACCCTGGAGGAAGAGAATTGGGTTTTTAAAAATGAAAGCGCTCTACAAGAACCCCCCGACTGCATTAGAAAGAGCACCCCAGGATAATAAGTATACCAGAAGGAGGAGGGGGGGAGAGGGGACAGAAAGCATACTCAACAAAATACTTTATGAAAAGCACTAGAATTCAGAACTGAAGGAGCTGATAGAACACATAAGTGTACCAACACAAAAAGACCTTCCCAAGACACGTTTTATTCAGACTCAAAAATCAGACAAAGAAAGAATTCTCAAGGCAGCCAGGGGGAAAAAAGCACCGTGACCTACAAAGGAAACCTTAGATTTTCATCAGATTTCTCAATAGAAGCATTATAAGACAGGAGAGAGTAGAAAGAGATATTTAAAATATCGAAAGAGTGAAATCAGCCCAATATTTCCTCCAGTGAAGTTATCCTTTAGCTGTGAAGGAGAAATAGAGGCTTTCCCAGGCAAACAGAAGCGGAGAGAATTTGCTACCACAAGCTCTGCATTATAAGAAATGTTGAAAGAGCTTTTCTCCCAGAAACAAAAAGACAAAAGTATACGAAACTCTGAGTGAGAAGACTAACAGACAGAAGCCCCGTTTCCGTGTGATTGAGGCCATTTGGTCTCAGCTCGAATGTCACCTGGGAGAAGATGTCCTGCCCACTCCGTCTTAAGTACAGCTGGCCACAGCCCTGTCTCATCCTTGATGCAGCTCGTAGGGTTCTCCAGACGGTCACGTTTGTTCACTCCCCCTCCCTGTGTGGGCTGCAAGCTCCCGCAAAGCAGTCCACTGACTCATTGGTGCGGTCTCGGCACCTTGCACCGTGTCCGGCAGCAGGCGGTGGGTGCTCAGTAACTATTGTTGGGTAAATTATCAAAGGGACACCTCGTACACTTTTAGACAATAAGCTGAGAAGTAGTTCTGTGTGAAAAATGAGGAAACTGAGGCCCAGGAAAGGGAAACGACTTTCCCAAGGCCGCTCAGAGGAGCAGTGTCAGGGTTGGGACTAGAATCGCTGTTCATCGGCTGTCCCGTCAAGCAGCGGTTCCACTCTGCTGTGACCGCTCCTGGCCCTCATCCCCATCCGTCACCCCACACCCCTGCCCCAGCACACCGCCACCCCACACAGCCTCCTCCCACCCTCCGCTCACCTTCTGCCCCGGGTACTCCCAGTGGAAGTCCACGGCGATCTCTGGCTTGCTCAGCACCGTGCAGGTCACGCTGAAGTTCTCTCCCAGCAGGACCGACGCTGCCGAAGCTTGGATGGTGGGCTTGGGGGGCGAAGATGGGTCTGCCATGGAGAAGACGGGAGAGAAATAGGCACAAACATGTCAAATTGATTGTTATAATGACTGAACGGAATGAGTGAAATGGTTAAATTGACTGAGAATGAATGGTGGAGGTGGTTGAATTGATAGAGGAGGGGTAGATGATGGAACAGTTGATTGACGGAGGATTGGTGAATGGAATGGTTGATTTGAGGGAGGATGGATGAATGGAATAATGTGACTTGATTAAGAATAAATGGATGAACAGGAAGGCTGAGTTGATGCAGGTCAACTCAATAGCTGATTGGCTGATTACGTCTGGACAAGATAGTTGGAATACACAGAATATTGTTGGAAGGTGGTTGGTGGTTTAGAGCTCCATACTCCACAGATCTCAAATCTGAGGCTCCCAAAGGAGGCATCCCTCCCCATATCCTCCCCTGCCCTGCCCTGCCCTGCCCTGTCCTGCCCACCCAGAGCCCTGGGCTCACGTACAGTTGATGTAGATCAGCATGTACTTGGTGGAGATTTGCCGTATGCCTCCCAGGCTGGCCAAGCAGAAGAGGGAGCCAGCCAAGGAAGCTCGGGGCCGGTGGATGGTGAAGCCCTTCTTCACATCAAAGGAGATATCCGTCCCATCCACTGGGACCTCCTCTGGGGGGAACTCTCGATGCAGCGTCACCTGGGCCAGGGGGTTGGTCACCTGGCAGGGAAGCAGGACTGGCTGATGGCTGCGTAACTGTACCATTTCATAATAATTCTCTGTGGGGACAAAGAGCTCTTCCGGGTCTGGGAAGGAAGGAGGGAGAAAGAAGAATGAGTTCCGGGCAAAATTTATTGTCTCCCGATGCTCTGTCACTGCTCATGAGCACGAGGTCCTTTGTGGGGCCTTGAAATGCCGCTGTCCCTGCCCGTCTCCAATCTGCATGTTCTTTCCTCTCTGGTAAGAGGCTCTGGACTAGGGGCTGAAGGCCAGCCTGCTAGTTCCAGCTTTTGTCATTAGCTTGCTGTGCATCTTAAACAAATCTCTTTCCCTCTCTGGTCTTCGGTGCCTTCATTAGTACATTGAGAGAGTTCAGATGGCTTGGTCTCCGAGGGCCCTTCTATGTGAAAAGTATTACAGGAAGTTCTGAACTTGAAGTTGAGATTTCTGAGTGGATTCCCAATCCTGCCACCCACTAGCTGTAAAATCTTAAGAAATTACTGTCTTCCTCTCAGCCTTTGTTCTTCTCTGTCAGGTAGGAGTGATAATCGCATTTTGGCCTACTTTGCAGAGCTGATGAGAAGCAAAATGGTTACCAGATACGAGGCACCAGGCCTGTGGGAGGCACACACTTATCAAACTCTGTCAAGGTGCTTTTAGCCACATAGTCTGAGGTCCAATTCTTGGGTGCACGATGGTGCAGTGAGTAGCAATTATCTGGGGACCAGCTTTCTAGAGCAGCGCTGCCCAGCAACCAGCAACCCTTTCCGTCACGATGGCGAATGTTCTGCACCCTGCCTGTCTAACACGTAACCACTAGCCACATGTGGCTATCGAGCATCTCAAATGTAGCTAGTGCAACGGAGGAACTGAATGGTAAACTTTATTTCATTTTAAGTAATTTAGATTTAAATAGCCACATTGGTTTAGTGGCTTCTGTACTGAATGAAGCGGCTCCAGGGTCAGACAAATGCAGTGGTTAATTCTGGCTGAACAGCACCATCCCTTGAGGTGCTTTTAAAATAGCCAGTACCCGGGCACCACCCCCAGACCAAGTAAATCAGAGCCCTACTGGAGGAGTGTGCAGTCAGTGGTTTTAAAGTTCCACGATGACCCTCCTGGGCAACTGGAGTTGGAAAACATTGTCCGCTGGCTCCCAAATCTTCCCGGAGACAGGACCTCCCTGTAGGACGGACCTGTTGACATCCTGGGGTTCGGGCTTCATGGGCACGAGGCCAAGGAAAGTGTGTTTTAACAGGTCTCCAGGTGCCACTGAGTCAGGGCCAGGAACCTCTAGACTGGGCCACCATTGCTGTGATGGTTGGATCTGAGTAAGGGGAGACCCAGCTGATTCTAGAGGAGGCATCTATTTCCTCAGTGGAACGCAGCTGGACCCCTCGGTTCTCCGTGGAATTAGCCACGGAACCCCAGAATGTCATGAGAAGGATCTTGGAGAACCACCCGCACAATCCCTGCATTTCACAGGTGTGACTAAGGGGAAGGACTTAAGACAGTGATGTCGGGAGGACTTCCCTGGACCGAGGTTCTGGGAGACCCTGACTCCAGGGTACCTGTGAAGAAAATAAAGGTCTTTCCCTGGCGGTCCTGGTCGTTCAGGCAGGCGGCATCCTGGCAGGCCCAGCAGCTGTATTCCCCCGTGTCTGCGCCCGTGGAGTTCACCAGCTGTAACCTGCTGTGCTGCCTGAAGTGCCTGATTCTGAAAAACAGTCAATGGGGGCAGGAGATGGGGACAGCTTGAGACACCCAATGGCATTTGGTTGGTTGACAGACCTCCTCCCCAACTTTCATCACCCCACCCACCCAGCTCCTCTTCCCCAATGGTGATGTCAGGCTTTGTATGGGCCCCACCCACAGTTTCTGATTGGCTCGCCTATCCCACACGCAACTTCTAATTGGCCCATCTACTCCCCATTGACTGTGCCCACATGTTGCAAGTGGATTCCCCCAAACTCCCTTGTGCTCCTTGGCTCCTTCCTTATGTCCCTTTGTCCAGGTCAGCATTTGCCCTCTGAGCACCTCCACCTGCCAAAGGAGGCAGAGTCCTCGGAATTCTCATTTTAAGAGACTTAATTGAGAGAAAGTAGACAGGTCTTCTGAACCCAGTTTTATAATGGGAAGCCTTGCCTCCCATTCTGTAAAACCGCTATGCATCTGATGGTCCTCTGAGCCCATTTTACTGCTTCTTTTAAATGCCTGTAGCTGTACAAAATGGGACACCCAGTGTGGGCCCTGGGCTGCTTTAATCCCTGTAAAAAGTGCTAATAAACTGACCCCCGGCCCCATCCAGGCTGTCGCAGGAGTCCCTCCAGCCCATACCTGAGGCGCCCCTCACCCTCCTCTTCCAGGTACGCAGGCACCCTCCAGTGGACCGCCTTTCCCCAGCAGCGCAGCTCCAGGGACTCCCCAGCCCTCAGGCTCAGAGAGTCCCCCACCTGCTGGAAGCGACCCCGCCCTACCACCTGGGTCAGGATGGAGGGGGCCGGTGGGCTGGGAGCTGCAGGCTCCACAGGAGTCTTCATCTGCAGGGACTTCTGTCTCCCGTCTGATGTGGGTCTTCTCCCGCCTGGGGCTCCTGAGGGCTTCCCCGCACCGGGGCTGGCCGCTTTGGTATCCTTCTCCTTCTGGGCCTTTGGAGTCCTGCCACGCTCCTGGAAGTCAGCTGCAGAGGAGACAGGGTGGGCTTGGGAGCACCTTGGAGGGAAAGGGCGTTTCAACAATTTGAGGAAGTTTTGGTCGTTTGGAGGAGATTTATTCTAAATTCTACACATGGGAAGAACACTTAGTTCACAGAGAATACTCGCCCCCCGCCCCCCAGCACACACACTCTCTGGTTTAATCCTCACTATAGCCCCCAAAGGCCACCCAGTGAGCATGTAGCACCCCCTTTACAGGTTGAGAAACGCAGCCTCAGAGAGAGCAGCTGGGCTCAGCGCACTGACGGGGTGGCCTGGAACACCGAAGTTTGGCATCTAAAGACAAAGACTCTCTGAGGCGGTGTCTGGGCCACACCAGAGAAGGGACAGGACCCTGGACGAGCTGATGGAGCAGGTGCTTCAGCGCCAGTCTTGCTGGGGTTTCCCTCCCTGCTCTGCCCCAGATCAGCTGTGTGACCTTGGCCAAGTCGCTTGATTTTCCTGAGCCACATTTTCCTATTTACTGTAGAAAATGAGAACAGGAACACCTGTCTCGCATGACTACGGGTGTACATCCTTTTCTGGTGCTTCGCTTCCTGTCCTTCACAGACATTGCGGTTTTTCACAAACCCTCCACCAGCAAGAAGATCACAACTCACTTTATTGAGATACTACACTCCTCACTACAGCAGCCGGGAACCGAACGCACAACAGCTCCGAGGTCTGCCTGTGTTGCGTATATTTAGTGAGAATATACCTGAAGCACTTAGTGCAGTGCCAGGAGTATAACAGCCAATAAATAGTCGTCACGAACAGTTAGCTCATTTCTGTTGTTGCTCTAACAAGTTGCCATAAGCTTAGTGGCTTAAAACAACACTAATTCATCGCCGGACAGTTCTGGAGCTCAGAAGTCTGGCGTGGATCTCACTGGCTAAAACCAAGGTGTGAGCAGGACAATCTGTGTCCCTGCCTTTCCCAGCTTCCAGAAGCTGCCCCTACCCTTGGCTATGACCCCGCTTCTCCAGCTTCAAAGCCAACGACGTGGGACCGAGCCTTCCTCACGCAGCCGCCTCTCTCTGGTTCTCTTGTCTGACTCCCTCTCTTACGTCTAAGGATGCTCATGTAATCATTATACCGTGTGAATAATCCAGAAGACTCTCCCTATTTTAACGTCAGTGGATTAGCAGCTCTAATTCTACCTGCAGCCTTCAGTCCTCTCTGCCACATGAGGTTCTGGGGATCCGGATGTGGACACCTGTGGGAGCACGTTATTCTGTCTGCCACAAGTCCTGTATTTTTAAAAATCCAAATATAAAGCTAATGCTTTAACAGACAAACATCCCTAGATAGAGGCCTTCCATGAAGCAAGCCAACCAGAGGGCAGGATGGGAGAAGGGCAGGGGCACCTCCTGGTTCTGATTGCCCTAATTGAGAGACCGCTGTCAGAGCAGTGGGGAAGGTGGGTAGGAAGTCCCTGGACTCTGGGTCTGGACCCCTGTGTGGCCTGGAGTTGAAGTCTGACCAAGGGCTGGGTTAGAGCGGCTCCCAGAGCTGCGGCCGTCCTGGCCGGATCCGACAGAGCCCACCGCAAGCCCTGATTACAGGGCGGCTGCCAACACGTCTTCATTAGTGGAGGCTCCACTGCCCAGGACTGTGGGCTGCGGGACCACGTGGGCAGGGCTCCCTGGGAGCTGTCACCAGAGGTGCACAGCTTCGGAGCTTCTCGGCTTTCCAAGCCAACAGGTCATTTGGGCAAACTTCCGGAAGATGTCAAGTTTCATTTCAGGACCTGATGATGATGCTAATGATCCTAACTAAAACCCCCGGGCCCCTGGGCACTGCGCAGAGTGCTGTCTGTGCATTATCTTCTCCAACACTCACAAAGCCCCGCCAGAAAGCCTTCACAGACATCCCCATGTCACAGACGAGGATACCGAGTGTCATGGAGTTTGCCCAAGGGATCCTGTCCGATGCTACCACGTTGTATTGCTCTTCTTGCTGTGTCTAGGTCCCAGTTTTTGCATCTACAAAATGAAGAGGTTGGACTAAACCAAAGCTTTTCAAGTTTAAAAGCAAAAACAATCATTAGATAAAGCCTAGATAGCAGAACCCTCTCTTGAAATATTGGAAGATCAATGACAAAAAATAATAACAGCGTTGCTCTGGTTACAGGGGTGGGGGCTGGAAACCCACCCATCCAGCTTTTCAACCACTGTTTCCCCTCTTTCTCCCCCGCCCCCTGCACAGGCAATAAAACAATAGAATTATTCCTTAGAGCACAGTGTTTTTTAAAGTTATTTTCTTTAATTGATTCCAGAGAGAGGGGAAGGGAGGGAGCAAGAGGGGGAGAGGAACATCAATTCATTGCCTCTTGCACAAGCCCCGACTGGGGACTGAGCCTGCAACCCACGGATGTGCCCTGACTGGGAATTGAACCCCTGACCTTTCGGTTTGCTGGACAATAACCAACCAACTGAGCCACATCAGCTAGGGTGAGCATAGTGTTTAAGTCCCTGGGCTGGAGGACTCTCGGGGATCCTTCTCAGTGCCCATGTTCTAGATGTCTGAGATCACATCACCTCCATTACCCTCCACTCCTTCTCCTTCCGGTAACTCTGCAGTTCCAACCGCCAACCCTTCACTGAGCTGCTTCTTCCCAGGAAGATGCCTGCCCCTTCCCTTCTGTCTGAAGCTCCCTAAATAACATCTGATAGCGCCACATGGGAATATCTCCAATGGCATCTGGAAGAGGGAGTCTGGGATGACACCATCCCTCCGAATCCTGTTCCAAGCCCAGCTATTCTCTTGCAGAGATTATTCCAGTCCCAGCCTCTCCCTGGGGTGGCTGGAAGAGGAGAGATGGAGGAAAAGTCTTCTGGGCCCCCCGCCTCCCCAAGGACCTGTCTTCTGTTAGGTTCTGGGCTAGAAACACTTCAGGCTGTGCTCCCGAGGGAGCCCTCCACCAGTTGCTCTTTGTGAGCAAAATGACAGGCTCTCGGAGTTGAAGAACCTAGGAATAAACACTCTGACTTTTAGAATTATAGGATCTTGCTACGACCAGGTATCATCAAGGTCTTTACAATTAAAGTAATACTGCCACCACTTATTGCGTATTTACGTGCAAGGCTCCAGACGGAACATTTATATACGTGACATCATTTAACCCTCAAACCCAATCTATAATTTGAAGATTACTGTCGTCCCCACCTTACTCCTGAACAAACTGAGTCTTGGAGACTGGTCTAGCCCATCTTGCCAGTGAGTGGAGGAGCTGCATTCATGCTGCCCGATTCCAGAGCTCCAGCGCCCGCACCACCCACGCATCTGAGGCACTCCTGCCCTTAGAGGGGCAGCCTCTGGCCGCAGGTCGGAGAGGCCTGCTGGCTCCGGAAAGCGCTTGGGAGACCACGCAGCCCATCCTTGTCATGTATCAAGGAAGAAGCTGAGCTCACAGAGGTGACCGGACCCAGGCTTGGTGGCACAGACAATGGGGGGGTGGGGGCGGAGCTTTGACACCAGGGTCCCAGCCCTCACTCCCCTTCCCCATGTGGCAGCAGGGTGCTCTTGGGAAAGGCGGGGGCATGGGGCCTCTCAGGACACCCCAGGGGCTGGAAGGAGAGCTCGTACCTGGAATGACACAGAGGAGCAGGCAACAGGACAGGAAGCAGAGGGTCCTGGGGTCCATGGTAGCAACCCGGAACTGCACTGCTGATGCGGCCACAGCCTCTGCAGGGGACAGACTGTTGGGGCTGGCAGGGTGTGAGCAGGGAAGGCAGTCGCAGGGGACCCCTGGGAAAGGCAGGGGAGGGGACCTGATTTCAAAGGCAAATCAAAGTCCCGAGTCCTGGCTTCTCTACGACTCCAAACAAAATCCTTTTCTCTGGATTCCCTCTGGATTCCCTCTCGCCAAGGTGAATGGATCTATTCAGAGCCCTGCTCAGGAAAAAACAGCCCAGCCGCCAGGAGATGAGGGTCCCCAAGGCCAGACGGGTGGGCGGAGCCGGGAGGCAGCTGGAGGGGCCATTGAAGGTCACAGGAGGGTCCTGGAGGAAGAGGAATATTTGAGGACGAAATAGGTGAGCGTGGCTAGAAGGGAGGCGGGGCTTGAACCGGGCTTACAGCAGGGCTTGGCTCTCGCCTCTGGGCCACATCTGCCGGCCACTGGCTTCTGCACAGCCTGTGAGCTAAGAATAGTTTTCACATTTTTAAGTGATTAAACGAATTTTGTGGCACATGAAAATTACGTGAAATTCAAATCGCAGTGTCCATAAATAAAGCCATATTGGAGACTGGCCACACTCACTCCCATGTGTGTGGTCCGGGCTGCTTCGCACGATGGCAGGTGACGGAGGGAGGGGGCGGGGCCACAGAGCCCAACACACTTACTGTCTGGGCACTGGCAGAAAAAGCTTCTTAACCCTTGTTCTAAAGGATGGTATTTTGGGGAAAAAATATTTTACTTAAGTAAATAATAGGTAAATAAAGTTCATTCTCAAAAAATTACAGATGAAGCTTGAAATGATTTGACATTGTACATATTTTTCTTAAATTTGCTCTTTTTCCCTTTTAATCTCAGCCATGTGCCTGGTCCCTTTTGGAGACCTACCTTTCTACTTTTTAAAGTGCTTCATTCTGTGGCTCAGCTCTACTACGGTTTATCCATTCTCTTGCCAAAGGACTTTTAGGTTGTTTCAATTTAGGTTGTCTCCAGTTTTTTTGCAATTGGAAATGAAGCTTCAATGAGCAAGAACTAGCATTTCCTGGCTCAAATAGCTACAGTTCCTTGAAGATGTTTGTTATGGTATTCAGTACAGACATGTTGCCAGATAACCTAAGGAGACGCCACAGTGCAAATCCCTCCAAATGTAGCCATAACCTCTCCCTGTCCTGTGGAGCTTTGTCTGCATTCTAACTATTGCAAGAAGGAGGTGGAACCCCTCTTGGCTTCAGGTTGATGCAAGATTCCTCTGCGTACATAGACTCAGTAGTCATTCTTGGCAGTAGTGGGAGGAAGTGGGTAAGAAGAGAAAATGGGGAGCTTGGGGTTCTGTTCTCACTTTGCTACTTAACTGAGTGACCTTGAACATCTTCATCTCTTTGGGCCTCCGTTCCCCATCTGTTCAAGGAGGCTGTGGAGCATTAAGAGCTCCTTCCCAGTGACCGAGTCCTGTAAGAAGGAGAGGCATTCTGAGAGGCGATGATTTAGTTTTCAGCCTGATGGGGGCAGTACTCTGAGGGGTACCGGGAGCTTGGCATGTCACCACTTTGAGCCCCAGTTCTCGCTGATTGCCCCCCAGGGAGAGGTTTCACGAGGACAGTGTGCAGGTGTCCCAGAGAATGGGCACAGGGGACCAGCTGAAGGCCCCAGAGAGCGCTTCGTGGTGGCCTAGTGCGTGCACTGTTCTTCTCCATCCCGCAGCACTCTCACGGTCTCTGCTCTCTGTTCGTGGTTATGTCCCGGGTGCCCGTGTCCAGCCTTCTAGTGTGTGAGGTCTGTGAACACTGGGACCAGGTCTGCTCTGCTCACCCTTGGTCCCTGTCCCTTAGCCCAGTGTCTGGCACTTTGTGGGCACTAGCCAAGCATTTGCTGAACGAATGAATGAATGAATAAATAAATGAACAAACAAACGAACTGGTCCAGGCTGGTTGCAACAGCAGACACACAGCCCAGACTTCACTCTAACTTAAGGGCTCCCCAAAGAGGCAAGAAGTGGAGGGGTGGGGAGCAGAAGAGGCCGGGCACAAGCGGACCGGGCAGTGTCATGGAATTGGGAAGATCACTCGCTTCCTGGTCTCAGATCCTCAGTGGAGGGGGGAGGGGGACGGTCTGGAATGGCAGACTTTGGGAATAAACACTCATGGAATCTTTGACTTGTAGAATTCATTCATTCATTTATTTATCATTCATCAACTGTGCTTTTTTGAGAATCTACTTTACCAAGCAATGGAGACAGGAAGACAGGCATCAACCGAATCACACAAGTATCTGATTACCAGTCAGGACCGTGTTAGGCTGGGGAAGAGCAGGATTCCAGAGGAGACGTGGGAAGGGGTGGGTAGAGTGCACTGGAGAAAGAGTCAGGAAGGAATTTCTGAAGAAGTGCTATTTAAGGAGAAACCCACGAGAATAGGAAGAGCTAGTCAGGCAAGCTTCTGCCAGGCTCAGAAGAGGTTTCCTTTCACGCAAACAGCATCTTTCAACAGGATTTTGAGTGAGTCGTGAGATCTTAGAACCCTGAGAAAGAATCTCAGAATTATAGAATCTTAATCTCATAGAATCTTAAAGCAACCACTTCAGGAATAAATGGAATCTTAGAATGCTAGAGGCTCAGAGTCTTCTCAAATAGGAACAAAGGCAATCTTTTTTTTAAGATTTTGTTTATTTATTTTTAGAGAGGGAAGGGAGGGAGAGAGAGAGAGAGAGAGAGAGAGAGAGAGAGAGAGAGAAACATCAATGTGCGGTTGCTGGGGGCTGTGGCCTACAACCCAAGCATGTGCCCTGACTGGGAATCAAACCTGCGACACTTTGATTTGCAGCCTGTGCTCAATCCACTGAGCTACGCCAGCCAGGGCACAAAGGCAATCTTAAGGAATCCTTTGTTCCTGTCCCTTCTCTCTACCGTTGTACCGAGAACAAAACAAAATTACAGGGGCCAAAACCCAGCCAGAACTAACTCCCACCTCTTATTATCAATAAATCAGGACTATATCCATTTACTTAATAATAGTAGCAATGTTTATATTTATTGTCTCACTACTATGTGCTCACTGCTGCTAAGTGGTTTCTATCATTGTATCAGTGAGTTCCAACAACAAACTTCTGAGTTGGATGCTTTTACACTAACTAGGTATTATGACTAAGGAAACAATCTGGGTGGGGTGGGGAAACAGGGCAATGCTTGCTCAGCTAGAATGTGGTGGACGCAGACCCCAGGGCTTTTCCTGCTTATTTGCTTTTTCATTTAAAGACCGTGCTGTGAAGCTCTGTACTGAGCAGCTGGTTTTCTAATTGCAGCAACTCACAGGCCTGCCCTTTTCACGGTCACCCCAGCCTTCCTATGACTCTCCCTGTAGGGGTCAAGGTCATGTCTTGGCTTGATTTTGTTGTGGGGTGATGAGCTGCCTGGAAGGTCCACTGTACACTCTCACGTCCAAGAAGTGACGTGTTCTCAAGACCTGAACGTGCTGTCAGACCTGAAGGAAGTATTTGTCTCTGGGATCCATGAGACAGCCTGGAGTCAGGAGCCACAAGGTGCAGTCTGAGTCCAGGCATGAAGTGGCTGTTACGCAGGCTACGTCCAGGGCCTCCCCGGATCCTGGTGCATCCCCACCAGCCGGCGAGGCCACGTGTTGTGGACGGGGTCATAGCGTCTGCTCTGCCCGCCTCCCCTGTGAAGGAGTAATGCATGCAGACGTGGCTGTGACTTATGAAATACACAGAATGATGCTGAGGTGCAATGGTGTCTCTCCTGCCTTGTGAGGGAGAGTTCCCCTGATGGAGGGCAACTTAGCAACTTGTTATCAGTAGCCTCAAAAAATATTTGTTACTCTCTCAAGTTTTAGAAAACAATCTCAAAGCCATGTCGGAAAAAATCAAAGTCAACCTGACTGTTTAATAATAGGCAATTAGACAAATTATGCTACAAGTCATACAATGGAATTTAATAGTTATTTAAAAATTTTTAGGAACATTTAATCACATAAAGAAGATGTTCACAATAAATTAAGGGTTATAAAAGATAAATTAATGTTTGCAATAAGTTTCAATGTTCTGCAAAGAAAAGTATAAGTGTGTGGCACATAATATTCCATACATGTCGGTATATTAATGCTACTACTATGTAATAAAAGAATGATGTGTTAATGTAGGCTATCTCGGGATTGTAGGATTATGACTTTACCTTTTTTTATGTTATGATTATCTATAATGGCTACTAATTATTTTTACAGTAATAAAACAAACGATAAAAACCATGAGTAAAGTGGTTCTGTGGTTTTTCGGCCCTTTGTGTGCACGCTGCTTCTCCGGGTCTCCACCCTCTCAGGTACCTGCCTGCCCACAACTAAGTGTTGCACGTTGCTGAGACCCCACAGCAGAAAATAATCTGCCTCACGCCAAGTGGTTAGACGCTCCTATGTTCACTCCCATAGAGAGAAGGAATCCTCATCTCTTACAGAGGAATGCCAGGCACTAAGACAGACCTTAAGGGGGCTTTTGGAGGAAGGGGGCTTCCTGGTGGTCACGCAAACGGTAGTGCCTGGGGCTCCTTCCTCTAGAGAATTTACCCAAGTGAGACCCATTTCTGGAATGCCCAGCGCGGGGCACCCTCTCCTGGTAGAGGCCAGCAGAACTGAAACCTGCCAGCAGGTGGCAGTATCTGACTACTCCATCTTCCCCAGAGGGCAGCCTGGTGATCTGACTTCCCCCTTAAACCAGAGAAAGGAAAGCCCAGAGCGGGTGCGGTGAGAAAGTCCAGAATCTCAGTCCATTGTTCTGGCCCACGTCGAACAGTCTCTCTTACAAAGACTTTTGGAAGGGTCGTGCCACAGAGGAAGGGGGTTGGGGCGGGCCCAGAAAGATGAAGTCATCCTAGTGTGTTTCTTCCATCCCATGCTCGCCTGCTTCTACGGGCTAGTGTGACCCCACAACATAGGCTCACTTACTATTTTTATGGCTCCCTGGAGGTTCAGACTGTTTCTTTTTTTTT